CCCACCCCCCCAGTATCACTCTTAATCATGAGATTCTGAACACCTTTGCAGACTTACTCATTTATATCTTGTAATGGTATTGACACAGTCCTAACTTATCAACTTTATCTTTAAAAATTTGTCACAGAAGTTAATTTTTCTATGGAACTGTCTTTAAAACAACAAAAATATTTTAAAAACTTACCTAAAACATTCTTCTTCCTGTTATTACATTCTGTATGTCTATTTTATTTGCAAATGAAAGTGATTACTGATGATTAGCAACTTGAGCCTGTTACAGGAATTTGCAAAGCCTGAATACACACACATTGCCTTAGCCTGTCAGTAGAGTAGAGGACATATATTAAGTGTGTCTGTCTGTTGCTGTTGTTGGACAAAATTTCATGTCTGTGTATGCGTGATTTTTTTTTTCTATTTTTTTCAAAGATGTGAATTAAATGAAAGTGTGGGAGTCAGTTATATTATTTCATGTTATGGGTGATCTGGATCCTTTCACTCTATATACAATATTCTTGTAAGGGCAGCATTTGCAGACTTGCTAATGGACTCTAGAGCTGAGCTATTTTAATTTTATACTTGACTCAGGGGATCAGCTCTGTGAACTCCATTGCAGGAAGAAAGCTCATGTTTGCCTTGATTTTGAATGTACCTTTTTAATGTCTTCTTAAAACATATTTTGTTTAATAATGTGGGTTTGTTTTCTTTTTCTAGCATCATAGTAAATATTGCCTAGTATTTCCCCCCTCCCCTGGGTAGTTTATATACTATCCTACAGGTCATGCCAAAAATGAATAAAAATTTAAATGCCAAAATGTTTATGAAACTGCTGTTCTAAATACTGATTGATTGCACAGTTTAAATAAAATTTTCCTTAGTTAAAAAAGAAAAATCCATGTTTTCTTTTACTCTTTACTCTTTCGTATCCTAGGATGAGATGATTTATAGGGTCTACTCCAAGCAGTAGGAATAGAGCCTGTTTAAGGTAAGAATTGTTTTCATCTGGCATTTACTGCATAGCAGCAAGAAAATAACAATTTTCCTATTCCAGTAAATGGTTGCTTTACCTCAGGAACTAAATAGTAGGTAGCATAAAAGCTATAGACTCATCCATAGACACAGTTCTAATTCAGGTAAGAATTTATCTTTTTAATATTATTATTAAAAAATGGTCAAGACAGTATTGAAAGCCCTCCCACTAAAAAATAATTAAAAAAAATAAAATATGACCCAAACAAGCTTTTTAAAATAATTGAGTTCTTAAAAAACATCTCCCAATTTTGGGAATAAAAGTGGAACTGAAATTTTGAACAATAACTTCTTGAAATGACATTGTGTTGACTGGAGAATATAAAAGAAAGAACTGAAACATAAAAAACCAACAAACTACATATTTTTAAAAGAACAAGTATATTAGAAAACTAAATGAATAAAATTTCCAGAAATAAAAAATAGTCATTGAATTTTTGAAAATCTGTTAAATCACATATGAAATACACTAAAAGAAAATTCTAAAACTGAGGAAATTATCCAGGATAATTTAGCACAGAGAGATAAACAGGCAGAAAAATATAAATAAAACAGGTAAAGGAGATTCAAAATACATCTGACAGCCACTCTAAAATGAAAGACTAAAGAGAATGAAGGATAGGCAATATTCAAGGAGAAAATGACTAATTTATGAAATCCTCAGATTCAGGAAGCACGAACTTCAATCTAGAAATACACAAATGCACACCAAGACATTTTCAGTGAAACTGCAGAACATCAAAGACAAAGAGAAAAACTTAAAGGCAGTTAGAGGGGAAAAATAGTATATAGATTGCACTAGGAAGATTTCTCAGTGACAATTAAAGAAGCAAGAAGATGGTGGGGTAACATCTTCAAAACATCACAAAGGGAAATAACTACAACATGGAGTTGTATACCAAGATAAATTATCATTTAAATGTTAGGGTTAAATTAACATAATTCTAGATAAAGATTGAAATAACTTACCACTCACACACCCTTGCTAAATGAACAATAAAGGATGTACTTTAGGAAGAAAGAAATATCCCCAAGGAAGATAGAAGCAAGAAGCAATGATGAGCAAAAAATACGAGTCAAAAAGACAGTGAGATACCACTCTATATTCACTAGGATAGCTATAATAAAAAGGACAACTAATAACAAATGTTGGCAAGGATGTGGAGAAATCAGAACCCTTCTACATTGCTGTTGGAAATGTAAAATGGTGCAGCCACTGTGGGAAATTGTTTAGCAATTCCTCAAAAAGTTAAACAGCATTACACTTGACTCAGCATCTCACTTCTAGGTACATCCAAGTTAAATGAGAACACATGTTCACACAAAAATCTGTAGACATATCATAGCAGCATATTTATAACAGCAAAAACTGGAAACAACCGAAGTGCCTGCCAACTGATGAATGGAAAAATGAAATGTGGTATAGAGACTCAATGGGATATTATTCAGCAATAAAAAGGAATGAAGTACAGATACATACAACAACAGGATGAATTTTAAAAACATGCTAAGGGAAAGAACCCAGTCAGGAAAAAATACATGTTGTTTGGTTTCATTTATATGAAATGTTCAGCATAGGCAAGTCTATAGAGACAGTAGATTAGTGGTTGCCTGGGATTGGAAGGTTACAACAAATGGGAAATGACTGCTACTGGGTTTGGAGGGGGTTTTTTTGGGGGGGGGGTGATGGAAATGTTCTAAAATCAGTTGTGATGATAGTTGCACAATTCTGTGAACATACTAAAAATCACTGACTTGTACACTTAAAATGGATATATTGTATGGTATATGATTACATCTCAATAAAGCTGTTTTTTTTAAAAAGCCATGATGAGCAACATGGGTAAATACAAATGAGCACTGACTATATAAAACAAAAATTCTATTAACTAATTTTATACAAAAACAAGGTTAAACTAAAACACAAGACAACAATGAGCCATAAGACTGGAAGAAAAATGAGCAGAGTCAAGGTCTACCTACCATTCTTTTATTAAATAACTTTATGTTAAAAATTAGTGTAAAAAGAATATAAATAAATTTCTAAATCTCCTAATTTAAGTGGAAAAGGAAATGAAAAACACATCATCAATGTAATAGAAGGTAGAGAAGGAACTGGAATAAAATTCAAAAATAATCCTGAGCCCTGGCCAGTGTTGCTCAGTTGGTTGGGTGTTGTCCTGAGCACCAAA